CCAAGTCGTAAGCGACCATCACTCTCTTTGTTGGTTGACAAACATGATAGACCCATCTGGACGTTTAGCACAATGGAGCTTACGGCTCCAAGAGTACGACATGGCCGTAGTTTACAAGTCCGGAAGGCAACACTTAGACGCTGACTGTTTGTCAAGGTCACCGATTTAATCACCGGCTATAGAGGATGATGATTTCCCAGGTTTTTTAGGAGTTGTTTATGCAGCTATCATTTCTCGGCAACAACAAGATGATCGGGAGCTCAACTTGCTTATAGAATTCTTGAACGGACGAGCCGCCAATGCACCAAGAGTGTTTTCAAAGAACTTATCGTCATCCTGTTCACGGGACGGAATTCTGTACAAAAACTTTTCATCAACAGGTAGAAGCTATCTGATGGTAGTTCCTGGAGCTCTTCGCAGCGAAATTTTACAAGCCTGCCATGACGAAGCCACTGCGGGCCACCTCGGTTTCACAAGAACACTGACACGCATCAAAGAAAAATATTACTGGCAAAGAATCGCAGCAAAGGTTAAACATTACGTCCGAACATACATTGACTGTCAGCGGCGCAAGGTACCACCTGTTAAACCCGCTGGGCTATAACATCCTGCGCCCGTGCCAGAAACTCCGTTTTCTCAAATTGGAATGGATCTGCTGGGCCCATTCCCAACATCGGACAGCGGCAACAAATGGGTTATAGTGGCGACGGACTACCTCACCCGATACGCGGAGACCAAAACAATCGCGAGTGGCACTGCAGCTGACGCGGCCCAGTTCTTCATTGAGAACATTGTCCTGAGACATGGTGCTCCAACTGTCGTCATAACAGACAAAGGCACCGCGTTTACAGCCGCGCTTTTGCACACTGTGCTTACGCTCAGTGGCACAGCGCATAGGAAGACGACAGCTTACCACCCACAAACAAATGGGCTTACAGAACGACTTAACAAGACAATCGCTGACATGCTTTGCATGTACGTCGACGTGGAACACAAGAATTGGGATCGAATATTGCCGTACATCACATCCGCGTATAATACGGCGCGCCAGGAAACAACGAAAATGACACCGTTCGCACTAATTCATGGCAGAGAAGTTACGACAATGCATGACGCCATGCTGCCTTACGATTGCAATGATTCAGAGACAGACGCAGCAGACTTCACTGAGCGCGCCGAGAAAGCAAGGCAGCTTGCCCCCGTCAGAATAATGAACCAGCAGCAACTTGACGCCCAACGGTACAACCTTCGCCATCGATTCGTCATTTATCAACCAGGAGATAGAGTCTGGGTTTGGTTTCGTGTCTGAAGACGAGGCCTCTCTGAGAAACTCCTACGCCGATACTTCGGACCCTACAAGGTTTTGCGCCGTCTTAGCGACGTGACGTACGAAGTCGTGCCCGACGCCTCATCTCATCGCCAGCATCGTCGCCAAACGTCGGCAGCATCTCTGCCTGAGACAGTGCACGTGGTCCGCATGAAACTTTACCACTCTCAGTGATGTAAACACCCGCTGGCTGCATCTCTACCTGTAGAGCATCGGGATGACGCTCACTCTGGCGGGAGAGTAATGCCATGTGCATAGCTGCATTTAGCGGCGAGATAGCAACCACAACGAAGAACGCGGATTTGCTCGAGAGGCGCAGCGCAGGCGAGTGAAGAAGACGACAATCTCAGCGGCCTTCTCTGAGAGCGTCTGTACAAGTTCCACTGTCCGTGTTTTCAAATAAACCCCCTGTAATTTATAACCTGCGACAATATGAAAAATTACTTGCGTGCTAGGCCAAAATTACGTGCAATTTTAATCTCTAAGGGGATTCCGTATTTTGGTTTCATTAAATTCTATCAGTCTTTCTCTATAAACTTTGTAACATTTAGGCAGATTGAAATTATCATTAGAAGCATATTGCATTTTGCATTGAGGAATGGAAAAAAAGTTCAGCCGGCATGGTGAATTTCTAATAATTGTGATTTACTGAAACATCAATTTTGTAGTCAAGCAACATTGAAACTGCGAGAATGCGTTGTAATTGAAAAATATTGCCTTCTCATTCACTCAGGTTTATGATTCTCAATGGATCCTTTTGAATTCATTCAAGAGTTTTTTTTTTTACATAACACCCCATGATTCCAAGCAGTAACTTATATGACAGTGACACAATGAAATGCAAAGTGGACAAAGGCATACCTGCCAACTCTCCCGAATTCTCTGGGAGACTCCGGAATTTTGACTTAATCTTCTGATTGTATGTATACTACAGTCGAGCCCGCTTATAACGAACCTGAGCATGACGCGGCATCCGTTCGCTGTATCCCGAAGTTTGTAGTAAATGAAACACAGCTTTTAAAAAAAAGTTGCCAGTGAAAACACAAACTTTTTTTGCCCCAAAAAGTCCGTAATGCATGTGTTTCGAAGAACAGAAGCGATAAGGGCGGTCTCGAGTTCATTTAAAACGGCAGGGTGCTCATTCGCCAAGGCCGTGGCATAAGCTGCATGAGGCACTGACTCCAAAGATTTGTCGTTCTCGCAATCCGATTCCTCCAAATCGCTCTCGCCACGCACTTCATTCACAGTGCCCCAATTTGTGCACGGTTCCGGAGTGTCGGCATCACCACCGGCCATAATTAAACCACTGCAACAGATGTCCCTCCTGCTCTTTCAGGTCGGAGTCGACGACGCGCTGCCACATATTGCTGCCGCAGTGGTCCTGTTTGGAAGCTTCAGACTCGGCATTGGGCCCGATGTTGACGAAGTCCGCCTCACGAAAACAGTTTCGCGCACATGTAGCTGTCACCGTCGCACTCGAAATATCCACCATCTCCACAGCTGAATACAGGGACGCCCGAAGCGGCAAGTTGGCTGCTAGACGGTCAACAGCTATGAGGAAGCGCTCCGCAATGCGGCACCTGACGCGCGGATTTCGCTCAAGCCAAGCGGTCACACTTTGGACGTTTTGTTGAGTGACAGGAAAAAAAAAAGCGTGCTAGTCGTCCCATCGGCCATCATGACCATGCACGCACACCAAAAGCGAGCAACACGCGCACACATGACACACATGCCAGAACGCGTGGAACAGCTCTGGGCCCGTTTCCAGTCAGAAAACGAAACTAATTCGAGCCAGCGTGGCGGGCATCGCGGAGCGGTGGAGACAGGCGAAGGGATTGTGATCAAGAGAGGAGAGCACACTTGCGAGAGAAGGGCAAGAAGTTGCGATAAAAGAGAGGGGAGGATGCGGTGGGAGGGCGACATTAAAAACCAAAACACACGGGAAGGAGGCAGGTTGGGTAGCTTGCTTGAAAGGTCCGCGAAACTCGCACATAGAAAAACTTGAAAAGAAAAGAGTGCATGGCCCCCTGAATCGGTGTGCGCGGCGGTGTTCGAAGAACCGGCGACCGTGGTCAAAAAATAGTTTCGTTGCGCCGGCGGGTTTGCGTGGCCTCACAAACTTCGATATTTCGCGATTCGTTCTGTGCAAATTAACAGCCGTTTTCACACTTCCGCATGCGCGCGGAAGGCATGCTGAGCCGAGTGCGAAGTGAACGAGAAGTCCTATACACGAAACGAATCGCAAATTATCAGAGTCGGTGAAGTGGTGTACGCGCATGCACTAGATGCAGACTATCGGATACAGTCGGTTGTTGACGATGTTGGCAAACGGTCTGGTCACTCCAGGCCGGTGACGCCAACGACAGTACCAGTGATCAAAAACGGGGTAGATGGCCGACCGGTTTTCGAAAGATCTGTAGCAGTGTAAGCAGCGCCCTTCAAGCAGCGCTAAAATGCTTGGATAGTCTATATGGTAGACTTACTGTCTCATCCGCCTAAGCTACCGCCAATCGTTCACTGTGACGCACACCTTGACATTTCATCATCCACGATGGACTCCTGTATCGTCCGTCACAACTATCTTTCCGGCGGTCACAAGTGGTTGCTTGTGATTTCTCGCCACCTATGTGCCAATATTTGCGACTCTTTTCGCGCGGATCCGCAATGTGGCCACGCCGGTGTGATAAAAAATGCCAGGCCTTCGTGGAAGGTGCAGCACAGTCACAGCGAGAGCTAGAAGAGCGGCCTTTCAGAGCCTTTTCTTAACGCTCATTGGGTAACTACTGCAAGCACACTTGCTTGATACCCACTACGGCCTAATAATTAACATTTTTTGGGTATTAGGCCGGCATTCGCTATGCTATTATACGTCATCCTTCTGAGTAGTGTGGTATCTGCTAAACACTTGCAAGGAATTTCGTGCCAATTGTTCATGCAGCGACTGACCATGATGAGGAATTACGGCGGAAGTAGGTATGCGCCACAGTTTATAGGTGAACAAGAACAAGCTTTTGTAATGGGTTGGAGCATTGGACTACTCACTCATTACGCTATTCGCGTTGTGTTACGACTGGTTGTTCTTTCGCTGTTTTAAAATGCTTTATAAGTCATATTAACGCGATTGCTTTCCCAACATCAAGGCTGCTTAAGGAAATTTTGCTAACAAGTTCCAAGCACCGGTGTGGCTCAGTGATAGAATACAGGGTTGGTACCCAGTGGGCCCAGGTTCGAGCCCCACTGTGTCATTGGTGCTAGGTATTTTTTTGTTCTAATTTCGTGCAATGTGGTTACGGACACCGGCGGCGGCGGACAACTATTCTTGGGCCGAGTTGTGATCTCATAGCTTTCGCTGTAAAACGTATGCACGCCTCTGGCTGCTACCATTGGTGCGGAATGTACCGCTTTGTCGAACGCTGAAAAAGCCCAACGCACATAGCCAATGGACAAAAGCACCAGCGAAAGAAGAGAAGGAAGAGTGTTGTTGCTGATCATGCTCACTCTGCTTGACAGCTGTTTTAGTTTTACCTTTGTGTTTTGCTCAAAGAACGTGTCTTCGGCTCACCGCTAAAGGCGCACTAAGAGTTTTTTTGTTGTTCATCACTAAGTAATAATAGGCACAGTACTATTAGTTATTCACTGAATGATTACATGCATCGCCTTTCCATCTGTCCAGGTGATCAGGGACATGCTTTCCGAGCTGCGTGCCAGTGGTGACAGCCGGGCAGACGGCTCCTCGTATGAGGCAATGCTTGGACTGGCCCTGCGGTCAGACGATGAGACGTTCCACGCCTCACTGTACGACTGGCTGTGTGAGAGTGGCCAGTCGGCACGGCTGCTGAACGTGCGTAGCCCCTTTCTAGAGGCCTACCTGCAGCGTCGGTGTGATGCGGCTGACTTGCTGTGGAAGTACCACGAGCGTGTGGGTAACTACAGCGCGGCCGCTCGCATCCTCGCCAAGCTGGCCGACCGACCAGGCGCCGATGCGAACCTGGCTAAGCGCCTTGAATACCTCGCTCGCGCCATTGTCTGCATCAAGAGTACACACTTTCAGGTGAGCTGTCTGTGTTTCAAAGTGGCTTAGCGAATTTCAATATATCATTTCATTTCATTTTTATTTCCGTAAGGACCCCTGAGAGGGTATTATTTAAGGGGTGGGTAACATACAATCGATAGTTTTGTCGCAATGATCAATGTGAAGGTATATTTGAAATATTATGCATGAAGCTTGATAGAGAGGTGGCGATATCGTGGGAAAGGACATTCCAGTCTTTTGCTGCTCTGGAAAAAAAGAAGCAGAAAATGCTTTGGTATGGGCACGTGGGCGAAAAACTTGCAAGTGTAGCATCCTTCTTTTTAACGCACCCTCCATACGAAGCATAGTGGGGACCACCGCAGTTAGCACATTTAGGTTGTGCTTTTGAGGTACACGTTTTGTGCGAATGAGGACCAGCACAGACTTTTTAGTGTACCGGGCCATTGCAATGTCTCGATATATGACCATGCCTCTGGCATTTATAACACTGTGTAGCTGCCCCGACGTACTCGGCCACCGAGTAGATACAGAACCCAAGCGTAACTCGTTTAGGTAATGGTGAATTCTTGGCGAATTGCAAAATAATGGATCGACGACGTACCTCTTTCACCTTGCCGCCATCTTCGGGTGTGTAGGTGGTGAGTCTTCTTGCCGACACGACGCCCTGATTACGTAGGTAGTCTTGTAAGTTTTCATTTGAGTAACTCAGAGGGACATCTTGTATTTTCCCATAGTTTGCTGTGTAAGAGTATGGGACCCAGGCTTCCACGCGTATGCCTGCTAATTCAGTTATCATTAGTAGACGGTTGGCGGCCAGCAGGGTAGACACTGTGACCATCAGGCTTTCATGTTTGTTGAGGTGATGGTTAAGAACTTTCTCTTGAGCCGACGTTACAACGGCTGATGCGACAGTGTTACGGTTGACTTTCCATAAGCTTCCTCCATTCGTGGTAGGCCTGAAGACAACAGGGACGCCAGTACCACTTTTTTTCTTGTAGGATAAAACTGTGAAAGATGCCTGGTCTATATCCTCTGCATTTTCATCTGAAGGATCGGAGCCGTCTTGCTCCTCCCGTAGTCTCTTCTTCGCAGGGCCATGGTCTGTAGTTCCGTCTACAGATGCTGCAGGAGTAGTAGTTGCCGCCGCTGCTATAGATGCGGCGTCAAGTGCATCTGGCGCCGATGTTCCGTGTCGTGGCAGGTAGGGCACAGCCCGTCTAGAAGTCTATTTGACCTGCTTTTCCGGGTGGGTGGGGACCTCTACGTCGTCACGATGTGAGTACGAAGCACAAACAAGTAATACGAACTGTTAGTCTGGGAAAAATAGCGAAAAATACGAACTGATCTAACACAGGCAGTGTTTTAGAACATCATCATCTTTCTCCTAGTAGCGCACTGCAAAGGCTGTGGGTGCTTCCCTGATCTGTACAGCTGCACCGTTATCGGCCGGTCCCTCAATCAACTGACAGGTAAAATCAAAGAAGCTGAAGCTGTAGCTGAAATGGGAAACTTGTGAGTGAGTTCACCATCAATTGCACTGACAGATGAAGAAATGATATTTCTTGGAATGACACCACGTGCAAGATGAGTTGTCTTTTTACGCACGGATAAGATGGATGTCAAAGGCATGCAATGAACAGTTGGAAGTTTAGCGCCTACCTTTCTAGACGTGTCTGTCATCTTTCCCTTTTCATTTCCATATGTGCCACGCTAACACAAGCTAAGTTCATGGATAACCAACTCGCTCAAGCCACAACACTTTTGCCTTTTCCTGGTTCTCTCTCTCCTGATCTTTCGTCTTTTCCTACTACTTTTTGTCTTTACTGTCCTTTTCTCACTTCTCTACGCTTCCACATTTCGTGGCGGCAAGTGTTAACCTTGTGTGGTTGACCAGTCTTGGCTCACCATATATGGTTATAGCAGTGGTGTACGACTGGCGTTGGCAGACTTGCCATTGCACATTTCCTGTCGCGTCCCCTTGTTCGCCTCAATGGTGGGCGGTTGGCATAGCCGCCGAAACAAAAACACACACTATGTTAAGTACATTCATTCCCCAAATCGATCGTACCCTGACAAGGGAACGCACATGAGCACCATTGCAATTTTTTTCCAAGACGCCCGAACATTTTCCAAAATACTACGCTGTGCACAGCGAGCAGTCAAACGAAAAAACCAGAATCATTTCAACATTTCTGGTGGCAAAGAGCCTCGCTGAAAAACTAGCACCAGATTACAAGGCAACTAAGATGGCCAGTGGCTATCTACTTCTTGAGCTCAAAGACAGAACGCAGTATGAAAACCTCTCCAACCTTACATCATTCGGGAACACCCCTGTCGCAGTCACTCCACATAGGTCCATGAACACAGTTCGTGGTGTCATCTCGGATGAAGATCTCCTGAACCTTTCTGAACATGAGCTACTTAGATGGAAAATGTCGTCAATGTACAGTGAATCAAAATATAAAGGGACAACTCAGAAAAGCCAACCAAGCACATAATAGTAACTTTTGAATCAAGTGAACTCCCAGAAACCATTGAGACAGGTTGTATGAAGCTTGGAGTTTGGCCCTATGTACCAAACCCACGCAGATGCTTTAAGTGCCAAAGGTACAGCCACAGTTCTTATATTTGCAAAGGTCAGTCCACTTGTGACAGATGTGCCTTAACAGACTGCGCTTTTGAAGGCCGCGATGTTGCAGCCTGTTGTGTCAATTGCGGCGGCGACCCCCCAGCCTACTCGCAATCATGTGAATCTTGGAAAAAGGAGAAAGAACAAATTTCATCGAAGGTCCGAGAGAACATCTCTTTTAAGGAAGTTAAGAAATGAGTAGCACCATCTTATGGCACCACGTATGCGGATGCGGCGCGTCAGGGGGCAGCATCGCACCGGCCTTCGCCCCCAGCCCGGCCTGCGTCGAGCGAGCCGTCGGCTGCGGCGCCCGCCTTCAAGGCGGCAGTGGTTCGATCTGCTCCACTAACAGGACAACAGAACTCGGCAATTTCAGAGCCGTCTGGTCACAAGGCCTCGTCTCACCAAGCGTGGCCTGAAACTCGAACGACCAGCCTGCATACGGGGGCGTCCAATGCCTCCCAAGAGTCACTGGGCACTATTCCGGTGCCTTTGGCTCCGAAACAGCGGCGCAACTCTGCATTCCCCTACAAAAAAAGAAAACAGAAAATAAAGGGTCCTCCCAAGGACCTATGAGCACTAAATTCTATTACTCGCACACATAGAACACCTTTATTCTTGTTAACATGTCGACACAAATAATGTTTTGGAATATCAGGGGCCTCTTTTGCAATCTAGACGATTTAAATGAGCTCTTATTCTCCTACCAGCCCAAGTTCCTCTGTGTCCAGGATACACATTTGAACTTGGAACACACAAATTTTTGCCGGCGTTACGCTGTGTATAGGAAGGATCGTGAAGAAACTGTTGCTTCATCGGGAGGTGTGACAATAATTGTTAAGTCTGTTTCTTGCCATCGTGTAGTTATCCAAATGCCTCTTGAAGTAATTGCAATCCGTGTTATTTTATCAATAAGCTGGTTACCATCTGCTTCATTCACATACTACCCCCTCACTAAAGTTGAACTGCACAGGTTTATTAACCAGTTTCTTGAGCCCTACATTATTGTTGGGGATTTCAACGCACATAACATACTATGGAGAGTCTCGCGCTGTGACGCAAGAGGTCGCCTTGTGGAGAACATTCTCACAACCTCTGATTTATGCGATGCGAGTATGGCAGGTTCGAGGATATGAAAGCAACCAAATAGCTGCGGCGGTGATGACTTTGGGTCGGCGGTTAACAGTTAAAAGTCTGGAAAATCGGACGCCGAAGGCTATAAGCGTCCGGAATCTCGGACTTTTTAATACATTGACTCTATTGGGAACTTGACGGTGCCACAGGTGAGTCCAGGAAATCTGGCATGTCCGGTATTTCGGGCATCTGGAAAATGGAACGTCGCCTGTAGTTGCGATGTTACTTTTAATGGCGCATGTCTCCTGGACATTGAATTCAAGTGCTTGGGAGGCTGATGTTCTACTTCGTACTTCATCTGTTAACACATAATTCTTTAGAATTCGATGTCCCCTGCTCATAGCATTCACCCCACTGCAGCAGCCACTATAATAATAAATTCGGGATATATTAAGGCACGTACAGCTGGGATTTTAAGGCTCCTATACAGCCACTGCATGAACCATAAAGCCATGCAATAACATAACCACGGTTTTGGTGCTCTTTAGCCAAACCATGGCTCTTGCGCCACTAAATGCCATACATCATCATCATCAGATCAGCTTGCCAAGTTTCATCAATTTATTCCAATAAATAACACACTTAGATTTAATTGCCACGTCTCCCCTTAAACCTCGCCAAATGTTGAATAAAGTTGTATCCATCCATTCATATCATTGGTCGCAGCCGCCGCGCATAAAACCGTGGTGGCTGCGACACGCATGCCGATGGTGACTGTGAGCTGAATAGGTATGTTGCTAAAGCAGTGGTAGATTAAAGCATATATAAAAAGGCACGAAGTATTTCGGCGTTCCCTTTCATCTTCGCTGATGACTATGGACTCTGGCACTTTGTTTTCAGGTGGCCTAAAGTGAAGCTTTGTCATGCACTTTTGCAGCCGTCTGTTCATGTGCGTTCCCGGAGGAGGTAGACAAGTTTTTTTGGCGCAAAATAATGTTTTGTGCTTATACCATGGCTTGAAAACCAGTCTTGCTAGTTTTTTTTATTAAACAAAACTTCGAGCTATACAAATGTTATTAAGACTGCTTGAAATTCGAATCACTTGGATAATACTGTCCCTTAGAAACAGTGTGTGTATATATATATATATATATATATATATATATATATATATATATATATATATATATATATATATAAAAGGGAAAGAAGTGTATACCTAAGGGCTCGTTTTTCCGTGTTTTGACAATATTAATGAGATCTAACAGACGGTAATGCCAAGGAATGTATAGGGGAAGTTATTAGAACCAATGGA